TTCATCAAGTTGACCTGCCATAATTTTCCTTTCTTTAAAATAAGGAAAATAATGTGACTTAGCTCAAAGACCTTGTAATGTTTATAATATTTATAAATTGCTTTTGAGACTGAAAGCACTGTACAGTCAGGATCCATGTAGATCTCTAGTGTAAATTTTGTGTTAATCATTCAGAAGGTCCTTTGATTTCTTTTCAGATTGCACAGGTAATAAACCATCATAACAGAATTCTTCTACATATTAGGGCCAGATTCGCTGATGGTATACTGTGAAGTAATAATGCATAGTTAAATTGGTGAGGTATCAATTTATAACAACAAAGATTTTAACTTCTTTGGAGTTCATTCTCCACAAGCAAGATGATGCAGAAAGAATTCTGCATTCCTTTGGTACAATACAGATAAACGGTACTAATGTACAGTATACAACTCCATTCGACTACCAGAGAGCAGAGCAAATCTCTATAGTGAGGTCCTTTTATTACAACGTACTAAATGCAGTTCTACCCCTGGAGATATTGGCCCACTACACGTTCTGTCTCTTTGTTCTACTAATATTTTCCCTTGGAAAGACGAAGGAGGGGAGAGCAGGTAAAGGGATTTTAATAAAAATGAATGTCTGAACGAAAATATGATTAATCTATGAAAATATGATGAATAAAATAAGAGTTGCAGTATTTTTTGTAGCAATCTCAGTCATCTATAAATAATCAAGGATTGCTTTTTTGCTTTAGAAAGTGTCTGGGAAAAGGTGGATCAGCTAAGACTTTGGGGTTTAATTGGATCACATTTACTTGCCTTGTCTCAATTGTATTAGAAAAGACTTAAAAAGAGGGCCTACATACAGAGAAAGCTTTACAATATAGAAGGTACCTGCTCTATCCATTACTGGCATACACCATCATCTGACAGAGTGCCCTTTTCTTTGCTTAGGACTGTACTTTTGTTGGTAGAAAAATAGAAAGGAATAACAATTGAAGAGGTGCACAATAATCGGATCCATTTCTGCTGCTGTCCTTCACACGGTCTTTTACTGTAACAGCAGTAAGAGGCATGGATAAGAAAGCAGATCTGAAGCTCTGAAAAAATATGATTATTCTTGTTTTCAACTTCCACCCCCTACCTCTGCTGCCCAAATATACCACCTAAACAGAAAACAAGTCTGAAGAGCTCCTACTAAAACAAAAAATCTCCAAACTGCCGTGTATCCTGCATGCTGCCAAATCCTAGGCCTGGAACATGACTTCTACAAATTTTTGAACTAAGCATTCAAAGTTTAATGCCTAAATGGAAAGTAACACTATCCACTCCCAGTACACCAACATTACTAGATCTTGCTGCATCTCTTCTACTTTGTTACATAATCTGAGTGCTTGGTCCTATGAGATTCAGGTGCTGAATATATGTCTTTGCAGTAGATACCACTGGTGCAATGGTATTTGATACTTTGCAGTTTAAATGAAGCAGCTGGTAGTAATAAACAAAGCAATCTGACTAGAACCAGTAAGATCCAGTTTTCTCCAGTGCCAGTTTCAAATATGACCTGGATATTTTGGGGGGTGCATTTGTAACAGTTATATTTTCCCACTATTTTTTAAAAGGCAATTTGGGAGATTCTGGTTAAAAATTGGTTGGATTCATATGTATTTCTTAGTTTGATGGATAAAGATACAATGTGATCTAGTTGTTTGTTTTTTTTTAGCTATGTAGGAATAACTACCCTTGATTTCTATTAAACCGATAGAATTTGAGGTCTGTGGCCAAATCTGTTCAAGACTCAGCCAGGTGCTGGATACGCATTTTCATGATGCCCACTAATGTGCGGGGAGAATCTATCTGGGTTGTGAATATTGTGGTGCTGAAGCAGCACTACACTGGTTCTTTGTTCCTCTTAAGGAAAACGAGGGATGAAGAACAAGTTTGGATGAATCTGGCCAGACAGAGATGCAGCAGTACTCATACACAAAGCTATGACAGGGTAATTTGGTAAATAGAAGAAGACTGACATAGAAGAATAGAAAATATCATAGAAAGAGAAAAATAAGATTTTATATATAAGAAGCAGAATTTGGGGTAAAATATTGACTGGATCCAGTTGCACGATCCAGGTTTGTCTCAGCGTTGGTGCTCCGAGCTACCTTGTGGCTTGGATGTGGTGCTGCACAGACGGTTCAAAGGGTTGATGGTCCAATTTGGGGGACCGGAGAGCAAAATATCAGCCGAATCCAGGTAGATGCGGCTCTTCCTGTTTTAATTTAAACTTTGGTGCTCTGCTTCATTTTGAAATTCCCAAATTCCCTCCAGTGTCTCTGCAGCATATTTTTCTTTCTTAGGGGGGGAGGAAAAAAAAAAGACAGAGCCTTTAGCATTGACTTAATCACTACATTTTATTAGCCAGCATATGTATTATTCAGCGTTGGAATATTTCTTTCAATAATTAATACATTAATACAAAAAGGGAGCACGCCTGGGGGAAGGAGGGGGAGCGTTTGCAAACAATGAGGGTGCAAGGGGAGCTGTGGCCGCTAGGGGCTGATAGAGAGGTGGAAAACCTCGGGAATAAATCAGACCTAGCCCCGGCATTTGTCCTTCAGTGGCACGTAAACACGGCTGAGAAGCGGGCAGGAGAGAGCAACAGGACTTGCTCGAGTTACAACCCTGAACTCATTGATCACAGCGCCCGCTTGATGGCTGCGCAGTTTTGAAATCAGGGAATAAATGCACCGCTAGTGCTTTTTTTTAAAATCTTTTCCTTTTTATTCATTCTTCCCTCTCCGTCCCCGCCGCCAGCCCAATCCTTCAGACACAACAGCCACAACAAGTGGATGCTGCGAGAGCGCCCGAGCTGCGCGGCGATCAGCTGCAGTTCAAACGTGCGTGCGAGGGAAATTGCAACAAGCAAGACATCCTCTTGCCAGTAGCAAGAGGCGGGTTGGGCACACGGATTGCTTGCTTGCTTGCTTTTTGACAAATCTACAGCAAAAGCCGGGCTTGGAAAAGGCTAGTGATCACCCACATCCATTCATTCCCCCTCTCTCCCATACACACACACACAAACACAGACACACACACACACGCGCGCGCGCGCGCGCACAAGCCCCCCCCCCGGCACAGGATTCTTGCTCGTTTATTATTTTGCAAAGGTAAGGAGTGATCGCCGCTGCCCGGCATCCCCCCAACTCAGGCTGGCTGCCTCTCTCTCCAGGAGGTCTTGTTGCACACAAAGAGAAGCCAGAAAAAATAACTCATCAACCTGTAGGGCTGCCTGACCCTGCACCTGCAAACAGAGATTGTTCAACACAATCCTCTCTTCAAGATCTCTCTCTCTCTCCAGATCCTCAGGCTAGAGAGAACAGCGTTGCTCTTTCTCTGCCTAGGAACAGTAAGTATTATAGCTTTTTGGTTTTGGGGTTTTTTGTTTTTTTTTTGCCTGGCACACATATCTGGCATTTTTGTCATTTAACAATTAATATCCATCTCCTTGTGCTGTATGAATGTAAAAGGTCGCTGGACATGAGGATGCTGGTTCTGTGTGTTTGTGTGCGTGCGTGTTTAGCTTTTGCTTCATTGCCTCTCCAGTTTGCATTTTCTTGACACACACCATGAATATGCTTCACTTGACATGCCAGTGGATGTGCCTGTTTCTACATGAAATGCAGTAAAATGTTCACTGGGACTGAAACACCGTTTAGACATAGCACATACTGTACCATTGCTGTATCTAATTAAGTTCTAAAAATAAACCAAAGCTATAGCCTATACATTTTTTTTTCTTGAACTAACTGATCATGCCAAATGTGAACGCACTCTGTGTGTGTATGTTTTGGTTTGTGCATTAGTATTTATAGATTGATTGCTTTCTTTCTATCGGAGCATGCATGTGTTTGCGTATGGGTGTGAGCATGTACATGGGTGTACATTTTCTATAGATATAAAATACATACCCACCCACAACCATACCCACACAGATGTGTGACATCTCTTTCTGTGAGATATGGGTGTGTATGTACAGTATAGATTTGAATAGTGGGGGTGGTGGAAGACTGAACACCTTAATAATAAATGACACAATATTCATTTGTTCAGCACTGTGGCCTCTTAGGAAAATGATCCAACCTCTTCCCTTTTTGTTTGTTTGTTGTTTTTTGTATGTGTATATGCATGTGCCTCAGGTTAAGTGCTCCTTCAGCATGAGAATAACCAAAGGGTGATCCACTCCCTTGTCTCCTATGGGGATCGCAGAGCCAGTTTTGCAGCCTTCATCATCTCCTCCTCCTCATCTTCCTACTGCTGCCGCCATCCTGGGTGCAGCTCCCAGGTTTGAAACACTGTTGAAAGGCTGAAAAAAGAGGGCATGGATAGACCTCCTCACTGTGTAAACAATATGAGAGCTGGAAGTTGCTTCAACTCCCTAAATAACAATATCAATCAGTTATCAGACTGTTAGGCCAAAGCACTGCTTGGAGGAAAGTATGAGAAAACAGGCTATTTGTATTTGGTGACACTGGTGAACTAAAGACCTGAAACTTTTTTGGTGGCAAAAAACTAACAGAAGAGTTGCCCTTTCTATTTGCATAAATATTTGCTCCTTGCTGGATGTAATCTTGGGAGCATGCAAGAATATCATGAAATTGTTCAGATCTGTTGATCCTGCATACACCACCAGAGAATACTAAAACCAAAGGGGCTTGGTGGATGAAAGGACAAGGCCTAGGCTCTTTCCTGATCAAATTTGAGAACTGCATCTTTTGATTAATTTCCATTCTTAGCAAAAGACATAACTTTTGTGATACAGCCTGGATGATAAAGAGATGCAGATCTGTGTTTGCTACAGTTTTACAAAACACAGACTCAACGCGACTTGTATCCTGATGGGTTGAGCTTCCAAGAGACCAGCCTCCAAATGCAAACACCTTTGAACTTCCCACAGTAAAACAACAAGCTTTGACAGCAGATACACCAAACGTTTTTGCATTAAACAAATAAACAAACAGTTGCAAAATGGAGGTTGCAATGGTGAGTGCAGATAGCTCTGGATGCAACAGCCACTTGCCGTATGGATATGCGGCCCAGGCCCGGGCCCGGGAGAGGGAACGACTGGCACACTCAAGGGCGGCAGCGGCTGCGGCAGTGGCAGCGGCAACAGCGGCAGTGGAAGGTGGAGCCACTGGTGGAGAGGGGCCCTATCACCATTACCACCAGGAACAAGGGCGTGGTGCTTCCTCCTCCTGTGGTGGGAATGCATCCCGCAGCAGCCAGCCGCAGCGCCAGAACAGCAAGAGGAAGAAGCGAGGCAAAAAGAGAAGCCACCATCTGGGAAGCAGGGAATGTGGGGCCTCTTTCCCCTGCTCTGAGTTGTTGCCTCTCAGTGGCTCAGAAGAGAGAATACTTAAGGATTTGAGTGAGGACGAGGAAGAAGAGGAGGAAGATGAGGATGAAGAGGATGAGGAGGAAGGAAAGTTCTACTACAGCGATGAAGATGGGGTGGATGATTTTTCATACTCAGACCAGCCACCTGATGATGGTGGTGGTGGTGGTGGCGGTGGCCCTGGGAGCTACAGTTCAGTTCGCTACAATGAGTATGAGTGCTGTGAGAGGGTGGTAATCAATGTGTCAGGACTGCGGTTTGAGACTCAACTGAAGACCCTGGCTCAGTTCCCTGAGACACTGCTGGGCGATCCAGCAAAGCGGGGCAGATACTTTGACCCACTCCGGAATGAGTACTTCTTTGATAGGAACCGGCCCAGCTTTGATGCTATCCTGTACTATTACCAGTCTGGGGGCCGTCTCAAGAGGCCAGTCAACGTGCCCTTTGATATCTTCACTGAGGAAGTGAAATTCTACCAGCTTGGGGAGGAGGCCATGCTCAAGTTCAGGGAGGATGAAGGGTTTGTCAAGGAGGAGGAGGACAAGGCTTTGCCTGAGAATGAGTTCAAAAGGCAAATCTGGCTGCTGTTTGAGTACCCAGAGAGCTCCAGCCCAGCCAGAGGCATTGCAATTGTTTCTGTCTTGGTCATTTTGATCTCTATTGTCATTTTCTGTCTGGAGACTTTGCCAGAGTTTAGAGATGACAAGGAGATCATACTATCCCTGGCCCTGGGGAAGGGTTTCAATGAGTCACTGCACCAGGATGGAGGGGGCCACACTGTCTTTAGTGACCCTTTTTTCATTGTAGAGACAGTCTGTATCATCTGGTTCTCTTTTGAGTTTACAGTGCGGTGCTTTGCTTGCCCCAGCAAAGCAGCGTTCTTCAAGAACATCATGAACATCATAGACATTGTCTCCATTTTGCCTTACTTTATCACCCTGGGCACAGACCTGGCTCAAGAGCAGGGCAGTAATGGTCAACAGGCCATGTCTTTTGCCATTCTGAGGATCATCCGTCTGGTCAGGGTGTTTCGCATCTTCAAGCTCTCCAGACACTCCAAGGGTTTGCAGATCCTGGGTCATACACTCAGGGCCAGCATGAGGGAACTGGGGCTCCTCATCTTCTTTCTCTTTATTGGAGTCATTTTGTTTTCCAGTGCTGTTTACTTTGCAGAAGCTGATGAACCTACCACCCATTTTCAAAGCATCCCAGATGCCTTTTGGTGGGCAGTGGTGACCATGACTACTGTTGGTTATGGGGACATGAAACCCATAACTGTGGGTGGGAAAATAGTTGGGTCCCTGTGTGCCATTGCAGGTGTATTAACCATTGCTTTACCAGTGCCAGTGATTGTCTCCAATTTTAACTATTTCTATCACAGAGAGACTGAGAATGAAGAACAAACACAGCTGATGCAAAATGCAGTCAGTTGTCCGTACCTCCCAACAAATTTATTGAAGAAATTTAGGAGCTCATCATCTTCATCCACAGGGGATAAATCAGAGTATTTGGAAATGGAAGAAGGAGTTAAAGAATCTCTTTGTGCAAAGGAAAAAACAAGTCAGGATGCAGGGAATGGCAGTGAGACAGCAAAGAAAAACTGTGTAAATTCAAAATCTGTGGAAACCGATGTGTAATTCTGAACATTTCCAAATATACTTATGCATTAAGAGTGCAGTGATAAATGAAATATGCAAACAAGAGTCTAAAGCATACGGTAGTATGCCATTTATTGGTTAAATATGAATAAAAAAGCATTGCTAAACTTGTATTACATATCAAGTAAATGATATAACTTGTGGAAGGGGCTGGTTGATCCAATGTAATTTCAAACTTTATATTTTTATTAGAATGCAAGTGTTTTGCACATGAGGCAAAAGACATTGTCAAAACCAAGACAGATTTCAAGTGGGTGCATGAACTGTCGACATCACTAATAACAGCTCAGTGGTAAAAGTTGGCATTCAGCGGTATTTACTATGTAAGAAAAAATGAAGTTCAGCAGTCATTTATCCATTTATCATTGCTTTAATAGCAGCTACCATAAATCATTAGATCCCATAGTCATTGTTTTCAAAATGCTAAAAAAAATTGTAAAAATATATTCTACAGAATATAATTCTAAATTTTATCTTGAAATCTATAATGCTTGTTTTTAACTGGAAATTGACTTTGAAAAGGCT